TCAGATGGAATTTATTTTACATTGTCACTTCCATAAGTGTAGTTATATTTTATATTTGAAGTTATTGAAATTAATTTCATTTTACACATCTGATTATGGGTTAAATGTTGATTTACTTATACTTATGCCAGTAGTTTTTCATCACACATCAACAATTCATATATTGTATGTCATTAGGTTCTACCACAAGTAGAGAGACTTCAGATGTAGTTGAAACAAAGTCTATTATTCCACATACAGGTGTTACCACTGAAGAATTACAATCTGCACTTAAGGAAATAACTCTTTTAGGTAAGTTATATAAATTGCTCTAATGTTATTGGGTACCTTCTTTTAAACTTATCTTCTTTTTAAATAAATAAATAAATAAATTTTAATTTTCTACTATAATATTTGAAGATTCCATGCATGTTGAATCAATATTCGCGGTCCGTGTGACCAAATTACAACCGAGCCAACTGGTTACAATTGTTACGAAGGTCATTTCATTCTGGTACAATCACTTGTATTTAAAGTATTAAATAATTGTGAATTGAGCATATATTCACATTTTGATGCACCTGACAATTCAACTCCCCCGGTTCTGAGTTGCCATTTTATGAATTCCTTAGACCTACTTGATGAATAAAAACACGAATAAGCAGACAAATCTACGGGCAATTACTCGTTGAATCGATATTGCCAAAGCATGGCAAAATTGTTTGTGCTATAATTTAGCAGAAAGCGTTTCAACAGAAACAGAGTTTGTGAAAAACGTCAACTCCGCTATGCTGCCAGTTAGTATGACTGAGTGTATAGGGTTATGCCTTCAGTGTCGATGCTCTACGCCTAGCTTTGTGTGTTATGTGTATAAGTTTCATTCATTCGTATACTACATTTCTCCATGCCAGCAGCAGATGCTTACCCTACACGTGCACCTGGGGGGGGGGGTTGTGATGTCCCGCTTCCATCGATTTTGGAGAATGGATTATTGGTACTACTATAATTATTAATTAATTAATTATGTATAAAACTCTCGCCAGCTAGAAGATATAATATTTCATATGAGCAGATAATTTAGAAGAAAATAATTATTTATCAATAGCTCGAAGAAGAAACACGAGTTAAAAAAAAACATATATATATATGTTTTGATTATTGAATTTAACTATTTTCTAAGATTTCACAGCTGAAGCAATACATTTCAGCACTGTTAAAACATCCTCTCAGCCAACGACTTCATTATTAGAAGAGGCTACAGTAACAGGTAATGTCATATAAAACAATCAATTACATAAAAATTGTAATGTTTGTGAATCAATAAAGACAGAAACTGTTGCAACATATGTGGCCACGTCCAAGCTTTATTCTGCCCGTACTCCCAAAAACTACAGACTCCCTAGCACAGTTGTCATTCATAATATATTACATACTACAACGAACTACTGACTCCCTAGCACAATTGTCTTTCTTAATATATTACATTCCTCCTTCTTTAATTTGTAATTGCCCGAACTGAAAATATAATTTAAATACGTCTTATCTTAATCGAAAAATTCCCATTAAAATTAAATCTTTTCCAAATTACTACAAACCTATGTAAGTTACGTTATTCTGTTAGTATATTAGTATATCAGTTATTCCAATTATTTTTTTTTTCTTTCACAGTCCGCTCCTATCCGACATATAGTGTATTACTAACTACATTACTTATTTTCAAATTCAATAACAAATTACAATAAATATCAATTATTCAACCATAACATCATCAAGTATATCAACTCGAAGAAATCGAAATGAATGTTCAATATCAACTCAAAATCACATAAAAATTCATAGTCCCGTTCAATTTAATATTGCAGTCTGTCCGGCGGTGTTTTTCTCTCACAGGATATCTTCTTTCTATTTCTCGTTCTGGGATCTGATTACCATTATATTGTTAACCATTACCATTATACTGTTAACCATTACCATTATATTCTTCACCATTACCATTATATTGTTCACCATTACCATCATATTGTTTACCATTACCATTATGTTTACCATTACCATTATGT